CTTCGAGCAGCAATGTGTGGTCTTAGCTGTTTCTTCCTTTTAACTGCCAGTGGGGGTATGAACTGATTGGGTGGGAGCTTGGCTGTGTTCTGATTGGGTGGAGGTGTGTTCTGATTGGTTAGGGGCGTGGCTGTGCTCTGATTGGCTGGGGGGTTGGCTGTGCTCTGATTGGCTGGGGGGTTGGCTGTGCTCTGATTGGCTGGGGGAGTGTTATGTTTGGTTGTGCTCAGGTTAGTCTGAGTTGCAGAGGGGTTTAAGATTTTGGGCTGCCTTGCTATTTTTTGGCTTCGCGTTTGTGGTCGTGCCTCATTTTCATGGAGGGTGTCAGTTTGCTTCATGTATGGATTGGAGGGCTTTAAAGTGGCTAATGATGCAGCTCTGGTCTGGCTTCTGGTTTGTGGTCGTGCCTCATCATCGGTGTGGCTTTGGGTTTGCTTTTTGCGTGGATGTGTGGTGGTGACATCCTGTGTGGTTTTTGTGAGTGTGGGTCTGGTATCATTTTTTGTATTAGGGAGTCGTTTGTCAATAAGGGCGGGTTTCCAAATGGCTGGTAGGCGGGAGGTATCATCTCGCTTGTTCATGCTGTGTGGGCGTTTTTCTATCTCGATGGCTTCTCTGATTATTCTGTTATTAAAATGTTCACTTTTGGCAATGGTTCTGGTATTTTTAAAGTCAATTTCATGTCCTGTGGCTTTAAGGTGTTGGACCAGGGAAGATGTTGGTTCCTCTTTTTTGACTGAGTTCTTATGTTCTTCAATGCGTGCACTTATTCTTCTGTTGGTTTGTCCGATGTATGTGGTGGGACAAGTGGTGCATGGGATTTCGTATACTCCTTGATTTTCTAATTCAATTTTATCTTTGGGGTTTCTAAGGATGGTGGATATTTTTCTGTTTGTGCAGAATGCTGTTTTGATGTTGTGTTTATGGAGGATCTTACTGATTCTGTCTGTGGTGCCTTTTATGTATGGGAGGAGGGCTTTGCCGTTTTCTTGTTCTTCGTCTTGGATTTTAGTGGGGGTTTCTTTTTGGATTAGGTTTGTAACTGACACCCTCCATGAAAATGAGGCACGACCACAAACGCGAAGCCAAAAATAGCAAGGCAGCCCAAAATCTTAAACCCCTCTGCAACTCAGACTAACCTGAGCACAACCAAACAGAACACTCCCCCAGCCAATCAGAGCACAGCCAACCCCCCAGCCAATCAGAGCACAGCCAACCCCCCAGCCAATCAGAGCACAGCCACGCCCCTAACCAATCAGAACACACCTCCACCCAATCAGAACACAGCCAAGCTCCCACCCAATCAGTTCATACCCCCACTGGCAGTTAAAAGGAAGAAACAGCTAAGACCACACATTGCTGCTCGAAGCACGAAGCTGAAAACACCAGCCTGAAGATGACGAATGGGACTTCGTCGAAACGTCGCCAAGACACTTCCAATTTTACGCGGGAGAAAACCCGAACAACCAAAGACCTACATATATATATATATATATATATATATATATATATATATATATATATATATATACACATACACAGTGAGTAATTGTACCACAAAACATTCCTACCTGATCTAATGTTGCCTCCTCCTCCTCCTCCTCCATCACATATTTTACCCACATATTCTGTTCTATTGAAGTAATTAGATTCCTAGTAGGGATTTGTAATGAGTTTGCAATTCATGGTTTGCATTATTATTTGAAGTTACCATCTTGCATCTATGAAAATATATTGGCAATGATATAGCTGTAAATCCTAGGAAATTATTGTCCTTGATTCTGTGGGAATGTAATTGATCTCAATCAGGATTATCAGGGCTCCAAATATACATCTGCACAACAGTTAGGCAAGTATTATAACATACATATACATATATAAACACTGACTTCCTAAGCTGCTCTGTTCTTAAACAAGGAAATATCTTCTGTTAACAAAGATCCTGGGATCTCATATGTTGGCCTTATCCATTTTTCCATTCCATGTGATGAGAAAAAATACTGCTGGTAAGTACAGAAACGTTCCATGGAATACAGAATATTTAGAAATAGTGTTGACAGGAGAGATTTCCTTTTGAGACCATAATCTGTTTTATCTGAATGGTAGGCTGCTGGGAAGAGATGAGTTGTATCTCACAAGGCTTGGGAAAAATGTGTTTGGATTAAGGGTATCCGATTTGATCAGGAGTGTTTTAAAGTGAATCCTGTAGTGTTTAGTGACAAATATCTAGAAATAAGAACAAGGATCTAAGTACTGCAGGAGTGAGTGGGAGTGGGATAGTCTATTAAACTGTTTAGGAAGAACACTCAGGAAGAATATTGGCTCAAAAAGTTGGTGTCCTTTCTTGTTTACATATTAATGCTTACAATGTGGGATATAAACAAGATAATCTTGGCTTCTCAGTTATACTCTACCCATTGTGGATACAAAGAAAGCTTGCTTGCTTGCTTGCTTGCTTCCTTCCTTCCTCCCTCCCTTCCTCTCCTTCCTTCCTCTTTTTCGTTCTTTCTTTTACTTCAAAAGTACTATTTTTTGACATGCACTGATCCAAATGGGAATGTCTGATTTGCCTGTTGTGCAAATTTAGGCCAACACCAAATAGCTACTGTATGCTGTGACAGCAATATCCCCAGTTACTGATCACTTTCTTTCAGCTTTATTACACCAGGCCATTGAAAGAGTTTTATTTCTGGTTTTTGTTTTTCCTTTAATTAGTTCCACAGAAATTACCTAAAAGCAGGTTAAACAGGCAAATAGGAGAAAAGGAAAAACTGTACCCAAAATCTACCCTGATGAGGGCCTTTTCAATTGTTCTTTTTCTTTCTGTTTTAAATTTTGCTTATAACTATGGCTTTTATATGATTTTTTTAATATTTCATTTGTAAATCACTCAGTCAAGTAAATGTGATGAGAGGTTCTAGAATTTTAATAAATGGTGAAACAATGTTATATGACCGAATGCAGTGCTCATCCCGACCAAGAAAATTCTACACCCAGTAGGGTGCTAGACTGCATAATCTTTATGGCCCACTCAAAATCTATGTTTCTGTGACAACTGATGTTTGCTCTTGCAAATGGATATTGTGTGCCCTTAAAGAGCCATCCTCTCAAAGAAAAAGGTCTGCCACTGGCTTTGGGAAAGCAAGAGAATCCATTAATCAGGAGCCATAGCAACTACTGTTTGGACAGAACAGCTGGCCAGTATCATTGTCCAAATTTGAAATCTGGGCACTGATTTCTAACTACTGGAATCAGCATTGGTACCTTATAGCCCAAGAGACCAGCAATTTTAGGTTGCCATGCAGGATGGATCTGACCAATGCCCAAAGATGGCAGGAGAAGATAACAGAAAAAGTTGGATAGTAAATTATGTAAGGAAAACGGCAAATAATCCCATCAGTGGGGAAAAATATGAAATGCAGTAGAATAAGCCCCTAGGAACTGAATGAAAATCTGGAAATTAACAGGTCGCATTTTGAGTAGTTGTGTTCAGTTCTGGGCACCACACTTTTAAGAAAGCATCCGAGAAACAGGTGCGCAGAAAAGAAACAAAAATGATTAAAGAAGTATAAGAGAGTTTGAGGGAAGGGGGGTTATGTTTAGCCTTGAGAAAAGACAACTGAATGGGGATATAACATTATTCAAGTACTTGAAGGGATGTTAAAGAAAGGAAAATCAAGACCTGTTTTCTATCATCTCAGAACATGAAATGTGATCATGTTACAAGAACCTTAAAGAAAAGCTTCCTACACTAAGAAGAATTTGACAATAGAGCTATTCATTAAGGCAGATTGTGAATTCTTTGTCACTGGATAAGCAGCCAGCATTCTGGGATTTAATTTGGATTTCTGCACTGAATAGGAATGAACTTTGGAGGTGATTGCTAAATGGTACCTTCCAAGTTGATTCCTTCCCTAAGCATTAGAGGTGGAAGAGAAAACTCTGCCCCAGGGCTCTTACAGGTCAAGTTAGGATCTTAGGGTGAATTATGGCGGATACAATTTGCCATCCTTCAACCCTAAATTCAATCTACAATGAAGCAGGATTGTCTGAATTTAATTCCTATTCTTTTCCAATTGCTCTTCTCCTCCCTAGGATCTTTGCAGCAGAAAGCAGCAATAGCCATTGGTTAAGAAATAGAAAACAATGTTAGAGGGAGAATTCAAGAAACCCGATTTTTATTGCTACACAACACTTAACCCACAGAGACTGATGCATAATAGGAAAGATGGATAAGTAGGTATGTATTAAAAGCCTGTATTTCCAAGGCCCGTGTCCAAATTCTGATCAAAGTACTAAGATAAATACAAGTTGCCTACGCTTTTTTTTTTTTTTTTTTTCTTTTTTTTTTTTTTTATTAAAAGTTTTATAAATTTTACAAAAAAAAACAAGAACAATACAGAACAAAAAACAACATATACAAAAGAAAAAAAAATTAAACAATACATATAAAAAAAACCCCCCCCCCACACCCCTCCCAAAAACCCTCCCTTCCCCCCCCCTGAGCTTCCCAGAGCAGAATATAGGCTTAAGAAATAATAATAATAAAAAAAAAAAAATAAAAAAAAAAATAAAAATTAAATTAAAAACTTTATATTTATATATATAAAAAAGATATCTATAATATATATAAAAATAAAACTTATGAAAAAGCTATATAATATTTTTGTATACCCAATCTAAATTGTATAAATTTTATCCATTTGTCCCAGATAGCAAAAAACTTCTCTTGCGTTTGTTGCTTTTTTGACAGAGAGTCTCTCTGCAGGCTGTAGTGCAGGAGATTTGGGGGTGGGGGGGAGACTTAACAGATTCCTTCCCAATAACTGCTGGAAGCGAGGGCTTGATTCACCCGGGAAGGAAGAAAAAATCCGAGGAAAGATTTTTGCACAGAACATTCCTAGGAACAGAGCTACTCCTTTAATTCTTCTGTGTACCACTGTGGGAGAGTGACTGTCCACCCGGTTTATGTATTACTGAACCGAGTCACAATAAAAATGGAACTCAGTCGGTTTGTTTTATTTTTCAACTGCCCCTAAGCAGTGGCAGAGAGTTAAAAGAGGCGGTAAACCGCTTTTGGCTTGTGTGTACGACTTCGGGCTTCTCCAAGAATGCGTCAGGCACCTGCCCCGTCCAGCGCCACCAGAGGGAGATTCTGCCTTTAAAAAAAAAAAGAAGCAGAAACTACCTAAGCATCAATCCAGACCAAAAAGGCCCTTTAAAAACAAAAAATGCTTTAAAAGCAACCCCGCCGCTGTAGGACTGTCTTCATCCCTAGACATACCTAATTAGGGTTGCCTGCAAAGCGGCAGCGGCGGGTGGGGAGGGGTAGATAAACCAGGCGATTTGGTCGCTGTCTGTGCCAAACGCGGTCTCGCGGCTGAAGAAAGCTCGTTCTGCAAGGGACGCCGTTTGAAAAGGGGGCGCTTTATTTTTCCCTATTCCGTTCGTGCAGCGCGATGGCTCTTCTCGCCTTCTCTTTCTCTCTCTCTCTCGAGTCCCGGCTGCTCGGCCGTCCACCGCGAAACCCTCGCTGAAGCTCACGCCAGTCCGTTTTTCCTCTCCACCCTCAGCGGCCCCCGCATTGCGCGGAGCGGCGGCCGCCTTCGCCTGCTTGCCTTGGCTCGGGGTCTGGTTTGAGCAGGGCCTCTGGAGCGGGAGACAGTCATGGGGGCCCGGCGAGAGATGCGCTGCCAAGACTTGAGGCCGGGAGCGAGAAGGGGAGACGGCCTTCCCCAGATTGCAGGTCGAACGGAGGCAACTTTTTCCGGACAGGCCTATTGGAAACTGAGGGCGCTGTTGCGTCGTGGCGGCCGCCATTCCCCTGCGCGGGAAAAGGCGAACGAAGCCTTTTGTATGCGGGCGGAGGGAGGGCGACATTACCGCAATAAAGACGATCAGAAGGGATTATTAATTGGGCTAGAGCTGCTCATTCCTGTAGTTTTCTATATCCGCTTGTCTTTTTCCCTTCGCTGCCGGAATTGCCCGTGATCGGGTTCTTCCTGGACTTCAATGCCCTTGCTGCTAAGCGATCGCACCGACTGCCGCTGGAAGGACAGGAGACTACATTTTTTGCAAAATGCCCCTAAATTGGCATCAGAAAGGGCCAATAGTTTTTGCTTATTTCTCCCTTCACCCTATCCTCTTACGTAGTTTCGGATTTCTTTTGTGTAGCGCTCACAGTTACCACCACCCCATTTGTGTACTGATGCCGGGCTTGTTTTGAATTGCTCTCATTGCTCAGATAATTAGCATGGGGCCAATCATAGTCGAAGGGAAGAGACACAGTACAAGCGATTTCCTTCACATTTGGGCACCCTGGCGTTCTTGGGAATCTGTCAAATATAGTAAGCTACAAGTAAATGTGTCTTGCAAGACAATATTGTAATCCTTCCTGCTTTTAAATCCATATGTTGATCCTTCAGGACTACTTTCCTTCTCTGATATTGCCCAATTGATTTCCGATCATCAGGGAGGCCAGAAATTCCCCCTTTAGAATAATCATATTCTTCCAGTTTCACCTTGACATGCAGATATCAACAAATTGGCACCTAAAGGTGGCATCACATATGTCCTGAGCTTTAGACATGATAAGCTTAAATTCTATATTTGTGCAGCAGTTGAAATCATAGGCAGCAGTGTGGAAAGAGACAGAGAGAGAGAGAGAGAAATGGCTTATTCTGTCACATGGTTAAATATGATTTCCTTAACAACTTTTCCCACGCAGGCTACCAGATGTCACTCAGGACCTCTGTTGCTTTCTTAGAGATTCTCTCTCCTCAAGCACAATTTTTACCAAATTCTGATTCTCTTGCTGAAAGTCATCTTGCCTGGGATTGATAGATTTCTTTAAAAACTGGGACATAGGGTTGAAAATTGCCCCCTTTGCCACAGAAATAGTATTCTTCCCAGCAGAAGAAAACCTATCTATCAAGCTGCTGCTGCTGTTGCTAAGAATCTACCCTGATGAGGGCCTCTTCAACCCCAGAGGAGCCGAATCTTGCATCATGCTTGCAGTCCTGTTTACCAAGGGTGGGAGATGAAAGGAAGATGGTGAGATGGGAATGGTAGAAAAAGAACCAGGAGCCAACCTCCTCAACCCGTTAGCATCCCTCCCTCTCCTCCCATTTCCCAGTTTGGAGTGCAGGTACGCCAACACAACATTTAAGCAGTCTCAGCCTCTTCTCGCCAGATTTTCCTTCTCGAAGCACTTGTGCACCTCCTAGTCCTATAAAACCCTGCATCGGGGCTTTGGGAGTGGGGGAGTGGTCCTTTCCTCTTTGCCTAGTACTGCTTTTTCCGTGGCAGACTGCCAGTGTACTGTATGTGTATCTGCGCATGTGTGTGTGGGGGGGGGGAAGAGATCAGCAAAATGGGGCATATAAATTGCATGGAATTTGTCAGCCTGTGTGGAGAGATAGATGGTGCTACTCCCTCCCCCAGCCGCCCTTTGCGTGCCTCAAGCTCTGTTATGGAAATGCTATTGTTCCTTTGTTAGAAGTCTGGGTAGGATTCTGTAGCTTAGGAACAGAGTCCAGTTGCCTCTCACAGGGTAGGCTGTTCCCTGCTGTGCATCTCCCAGATGCCTCTCAATAAAACAACAAGGGTAGGAAGAGGCCGAATGGATTAGACTCGGGAAGCTCTTTCCTTGTATAAAAGGAAATACATCCCTGTGTATTCAGAGTGCTGGAAGAGTGAGAACTGGGATCCTTTGACAATTTTCATCTTCTGCACCTTACCTGAGTCGGATTTTTCAAAGGGAAAAATCAGTGCTCTGTGTGTGTGTGTGTCTTTGTCACTATTGCTAAAATATTGAAGTTTAAACAAGAAGGCTTTTAATGGAGGGTTGTCTTGCAGGCGGTATTCATTGGGATTCAATCTCTGTTTCGCTAATTACATATTATATTTGAATAGCAGCACAGCTACAAGGTTGCATCAAAAAATTTCCCCTTGAAATAGTAGGGAGGAAGGTGCTCTATCTGCTGAACTGTGCAAAAACAGAGATGTGCTTTCTACATACATGATAGCAGACAAATCATAGCCCTGTGATTTAGCTTCACAAAAAAAAATAGCTTTTGAAAGATTTCTGATATGGACCCTTTGGCTCTCTTTCTTTTTATGACTCCCTTGTGAAAACATTATACCTTCTCCTCCCTCCCTCCAAATATATTAGCAGACATGTTTTCCAACCTTTTGATTGTTTTTTAATTTGAAAATATTTAATTATAATATAAACCAAGCCTTCAAGCACTACTGTTTCTATTTTTTTATTGATATATATTAGAAAATCTTGTTCTCTATCAATCATCTCAAACTCTACCTGTGTATTTTGATGAATTTATTAGGGCTGTACAGCACTCTAAAGTAAAGTAAAATTGCAGAGGCTCAAGAATTGTGAACAGAGCACCAGTCTACAATTCTTTAAACCAAGTGAACCCTTTCCCAAGACTGACAGGTGCCAGTCCAAAGCATTGCTGTGCTTTAAAAATATTTGACCATTCTTCAAAAAGAAAAAGAGAAGATATTTTATTTAAACGTTTTCCAATGTTTGATCTTGCTTGGTAGTCTTTTCTCTGCACTGAACTAGTCATATTTTCCAAGGTGGCAATGTCCCAGCATTTATTTTTCCAATGATGATGTTTTGGGATTCTTCCAGTTTATTGGACTGCTTCCCTCCTTTTGGCATACAAGTTAATAAGTTCTTGTAGATAACAGCTCTGAAGCTGTTTGACAACAATTTTGCAGTTTGCAAAACAAAAAACCCAGTAGCTAATTTCTAAAAAAAAAAAAAAAGAGTGCTGGGCTGAATATAATATTGGTACTATTTTACTGTTTTACTAAAATAGAGTACTATACTCTTATTTTTCAGTGGTCAAACTTCACCTCAGATGTACCACATTTTAAGAAAAAAAGCACAATGAGGTTCAAAAAAAGGAACTAAAATATAAATTCTATGAAGAGAGATTAAAAGATTGGGTCTTAAGAAGACTGAAAAGGAGACTTAAGAAGACAAGAGAAGTCTTAAAACTGAGGAGGTCTTAAGACAGGGGTCTTCAAACTTGGCCCTTTTATGACTTGTGGACTTCAACTCCCAGAATTCCTCAGCCAGCGTGCCTGAGAACTGATGATGTATGATAACATTCTTCAAAGATCTAGAAGTATATCACACAGAAGAAGATCACTGCCTCCTTATCATCTGAGAGTCCAGAATACAGAAAGTGATGTCTGAGGGGTCCTTGATGCTCTTTGAGCTTGTTTTCTTGCAGATGTTTCATTACCCAAAGTAGGTAACATCATCTGTGCTAGGACTAGCACTGATTATATTACCTAGTTTGGGTAGTGAAATGTCTGCAAGGAAACAACCAAGCTCAGAGAGCACCAAGAACCCCTCATTTCAACCCTGAGCTACCAATAGTCTCCTTTATAAGTGGTGTGTATGTTTCAAATGGGCAGATTTCAACTGAATGTTAGAAAAAAGGTTTCTAACAGTTTGACAGTGAAACCACTTCCTAGAAAAGTGGTAGGCTTCTTTTTACTGAACGTGTTCAAGCAGGAGCTAGACAACTATCAGTCAGGGATGCTTTATTTGCAGAAAGGGATTGAAAACAATGGCCTAAATTGTCCTTTCCAATGCTGGTTGTCTAGTTTTGTGTACGGGCAATCTTTTTTTCTCTCTCTAGTCTGCATTCTTTTGGGAATAATACATATTGGGCTAAATGGCAATGGAAGATGGGCTTAAATTAAACAGCCGATGAGCCAGAATAAAAACTGGGTAGGACCACCCCTCTCTTTCTGACATCTTCTGTGTTCTGAAACCTTTTCTTTGTTTTTGTTCATGTTTGTTATTTAGCCTCATGCAGTAGAAGACATTGTTCTTGCTAAAGTCCATGTTGTTTGCTTCTACAAACTTAACGAAAGTCATGTGACAGCTGAGCTGCCTGGGTCTGCTCTAGAATTTAAGGATTAAATGATAAATCTTATGTGCTAAACACGTGGGGTTTTTAGTTCAGGTCTGTGTGAATGCTATACACAGCTTTTCAACAAACTGCTCCAGCAGTTTCTTCCTGTGCAATCTCTTTATCTCTGGCTTCTGGGAAGCAAAGATGGGAAGCCATGTTTCTCAGTGGATTAAGTAGAAAGGATATAAAAATGTTTCATATCATGGGAAGAGGAAGCATTTCCTTTAAAGACGCCTTGTCTTTCATATCAGGGCCCAGTGTTGCTTCCCTAATGTGGCACTAGGGAAGTTGTGGAGATGGGGAGATGATACTTCATCAGCGGAGACTTGGATTTTTGGCCAGTTAGCTTATGCTGGGAATATTGACCTCTCCGTAATTTGTAACCTGACATGAATTTCCTTCTTTGTCCTGAAAGAAGAGATGAAATAGAAATTCCCAATTATCAAATGGGCACAAATTAAAACTTCAAAAAGCTAAAAAGGAAAAGAGAGGTGTTTTGCAAGCTAAAACATTTTACAAAACAACAAGAAAAGCTATTCTAAAGCTGATCAGCAAATCCTTTAAATTCAAACTGAGTGTATTTGAGCATCTCTGTGAAAAAAAATATAAATCTAGCAGAAATATTAATTCCTAAAATAAATTGTAAGGGTAGTATGTGAGAGGGCACACCAGGGACAAAATATATTTTAAGTCAGAGTGCCCCAATCTTCCTGGCTTTGTGGCCCAGTGAGTGGGGGTTGAGGGGATGGTTCCGCGTGAGTGGTGGACAAGGGTGCATGTGCAGCTCCATTTGTGCAAGCAGTGGGAATGTGTGCATGCTGCTCGTGCAAATGGACTGCACATGCACACACCCGCTGCTTGCGCAAGTGGAGCTGCCCGCACATGCATGTACTCACTCACCCACCACTGCAGCAGCTCGGTTCTGAACAGCTCAAAGCCCATTAGTGGGCTGCAGCCCGGGGTTGGGGGCCTCTGTTTTAAGTGGAAAGAGAACTAATGGAAATTTTCAAATTAATATTTTTTTCCAAATCCATTTTCAAATTATTGTAAATCTTGATCATTTTTAAGGATATTTTACTATTGGAGCCATGTTTTAAAATGTAGTTACTTAGTCAATTTTAAATTGTGTCTGAAAAGCGTTTTGCTCTTTCACACAAAACAATCCAGAAATGAAGATGTGACACAAAGTGAATTAGCTAGATAACATACTTGTCCCATTCTGGTGGCCACTAAGCAGATAATTTGAATCCAGGGCTATTTGAAAACCTGAAGACTGACATGACTTGGCCTTTGTTGAAATTAGATTAAGAGTGAAAGAGGAATGGGTGTTCAATAAACACTTTAAAGTGGATCTCTCTGCTGTTTCTTGGGAAGTCTTGGAAGTATTTCCCCAGTAAGTTCTATTCAAAAGTGCAAAGACTTCCTGTAAGACTGCTGTAAGATTGTACAATTATAGAAAAACAGTCCTAACTGGACTGAGTGAGGTTTTGGGAGTCCAATATTGATATATCTGCCAGGCATAAAATAAATACCTGACTATTATAGAGTATACTTAATACAATATTTTTCATAGCATCCTCACCAT